AACACCGCCGCCAGGACGGCAGCCTGTGCAACGAGCTCCTGGACCCGCACGGCTGGCACGCAGTCAAGTACGAGGTGGGTGGGTCCCGCAACAATCGCCACAACAGCTGCCGCGACTGGCACTCTGTGAAACACGCCGAGCTCACCGGCTTCGCCGCGCCCACGGAGCAATCCACTCCCGCCTGGGATCGCCGACACCCCCGCACGGGAGTGCTCCAGCAAGCGGTTCTGGACCTCTCCACCAACGACCCAGCCACCGGACGCCACGCCTACGTCGACTGGAGCATCACCTGCGTACACTCAACCTACGCTCCACGCAGGGGTGCCCGTGTCGACAAGGATGGTTTGGCGGCCACCAGAAGCGGGAGCGGTACCCCCCCGCACGGGGGCGAGCTGGTCCCCCTAGTCTTCGAGACGGGGGGCTAGCCCAGCGACGGATCAGCCAGCTTCTTCCGCAGCTACGGAGTCGGCCTCGACGACGGCGACCGCTCCGAGCTACTGGGCGGCCTCTGGCGGCAGATCGGCAGAACCCTCCAAAGGGGTAATGCTAAGATGCTGCTGAGCGCGTTCGGGCGCTAGGCCGGCGGCCCCCTGGCACGGCCACCGCCGGCTAAACCACCGCCGGCGCGGCAACCACCACGACCGCCACCAGCGCCGCGACCACAACCGCCACCAGCACGACAACCACCGCCGCCACCACCAGCACCACGACGACGACCCTAATCACGACAACCGCCACAACCGCCAGCACCAGGACCACGACCAGCGCCGGCACGACAACCACCGCGGATACCGCCAGCTGGCACCACGACCACGACCACCACCAGCACGACAACGCCGCGACCACGACCACCACCACCACCGACACGACCCCCCCCCCCCCCGGCCGCACCTCTCTTTTCCTCTCCCCGCCCCTGCCTGGCCGCCCCTGCTGCCGCGCGCGCCTTGCGCCTCCCCCCTTTCCCTCCTCCTCCTCCTCCTCCTCCTCTAATGTTGTGTCGGCTTTTTAGTCACCGCCCTAGGTGTAACTCATGCTGTTTAATTCAAAGCCCCCCCGCTGCGTCCACACGGGTCCCCTTGGCGAAGGGAGAGGGGGGCCAACTCTGGCGCCCGTGGGTCTTTCCGGGGGAGGGAGGGGGGGAGGGAGGGAAGGAAGGAGGGAGGGAGGAGGGGGAGGAGGGGCAGGAGGAGGAGGACGGATGGGGGAGGAGGAGGAGGGTGGATGAGGAAACCGAAGACGGGAGGATCCAGGTTTGACTATGTTTTTGCGCTAGCTCTCCTTCTTCCGATGATGAGACATGCCACCGATGATGAGACATACCACCAGCGCGCCTAGTCGTTCCTCCTCCCTCGCTCCCTCCGACCCCTCCCTTCCCCTCCTCGTCCACCTCCTCCTGCCGTCCCTCCTCCTTCTCCTCCTCATCGCCCCTCATCCCACGCCTCCTCCCCCCTGGTCTCATCATCGAAGCCCACGATGAGAAGTGGAGGATCAAGGTTTGACTCTCGATTTTTGTTGCGGTAGCTCTTGTGGCGTACGTCGTGAGCGAAGGCTCGCAGAGGGGACTTGCTTGTCTGAGCCTACCGCACTCGAAGGCGTCCCGAAGATGCTCGAGACCGAAGAGGGGAGGATCCACGTTTGGCACCTTTTTTTGCGGCAGCTCTTGTGGCACACATCGTGAGCGAACGCTCGCGGAGGGGACTGGCTTGTCTGCGCCTCCCGCACTCGGAAGGTGTCCCGAAAGTGCGTGTATGCAGCTTCGGAGCGCGCTTCGAAGCTGCATGCCTGCTGGGCGGAAGTTGGGCAGACAATTCTGAACAATACTTATGGCTCGTCATCGTCCGTATCAAATATAGCTACGCGTTATGCTGGAAGGATCCAGGTTTGACTTGGGGGTCATCCTCCAGTGGAGGAGGTCCTCGACATTGAGCAGGGACCAGCCTCTGGTGTTCCTGCAAGTCTGCCACGACAAAACCCTCAGAACAAAAAAGCGTGCTAATCCGCCGGCCCCCTTGTGGGGCCACCAGGCTGCGAGGCACGGGTTCGCAGTTTCCAGTACCAGTTGTAGCTTGTAGTTTCCAGTGTTACAGTTCTGCTTCTTGCTGGTTACTGTAACTAGTTGATTGACCGCGCGAGGGGGGGGAGGCCCAAACGGGATTTTTAGCACCCCCTGGGCGCGTTGTCTGAATTGCTGGGGGGGCTCGAAATCGACACCCCTCACGCAGATCCGCGGGGTCAGGGTCAAAAACACAGGGGATGTGCCACATTCGAAATTCGGTGCCACCCCTCACGCAGATCCGCGGGGTCAGGGTCCAAAAACACATGGGATTTGCCACATTTCTGAAATTCGGTGCCACCCCTCACGCAGATCCGCGGGGTCAGGGTCCAAAAACACAAGGGGATTTGCCACATTTCTGAAATTCGGTGCCACCCCTCACGCAGATCCGCGGGGTCAGGGTCCAAAAACACATGATTTGCCACATTTCTGAAATTCGGTGCCACCCGTCACGCAGATCCGCGGGGTCAGGGTCCAAAAACACATGGTATTTGCCACATTTCTGAAATTCGGTGCCACCCCTCACGCAGATCCGCGGGGTCAGGGTCCAAAAACACAAGTGATTTGCTACATTTCTGAAATTCGGTGCCACCCCTCACGCAGATCCGCGGGGTCAGGATCCAAAAACACAAAGGATTTGCAACATGTTTGAAATTCGGTGCCACCCCTCACGCAGATCCGCGGGGTCAGGGTCCAAAAACACAGGGGATTTGCCACATTTCTGAAATTCGGTGCCACCCCTCACGCACATCCATCGCAAGGCGTGGTAACCCAAACAGCGAGTACTCCCTCGGCCCTTTAATCCCAAGGTGTGGTAACCAAGCTCGTAAACCATACACGTCTTACCAATCGCCCTGTGTGGTAACCCCTCTTGTGATCAGTTGGTTTTTGCCGATTGCGAATCGGCCTCGCATGAAGTTCCGATACTGCTGCACGACAGCGCCAAAGCCTCATGACTTAGCTCTTCCATGGCCCATTCTCCGAGAGAGGGGGCCGGCGGC